TACCAGCGCCTCATCCAGAAGTACGTGCCCGGCGAGCTCGAGTGGTGACCGCGTTGTGATGCGGCACGCGGCACGCGACGCGCGGGGGAACTAGTGAAGAAAACGACCTTGTTTCATTACATCGTTCAATAAAATACAAAACCAAGTCTGTTATTTCTATTTATACAAAAACTAACTTCCGCTCGCGACTCCGTACGCGTGGTATTAATAAAAACAAAAGAAAGTAGCCTGTGTGTTCTTCCAGACTATCCTCTACATATGTATGCCAAATTTCATCCAGATCCGTTCAGCCTTTTAGGCTGTAACTCTAACAAACATCGATCCACCTAAATTTTCACATTTATAATATTAGTAAGAGTAAGATTAAAACATATAAAAGAAAACCGTACATTACACATTGAAAACTTAAACACTTAACTTATTATGTACTGTAAGTATGTAAGTACGCAAACAGCACACACACTCAGTGATAAGATATGACATAAAGTCGCAAATCTTACATAAAACATTCAAGTAATATTGATATTGTTTAATTACAAAATTCGACAAAAACTCATATTAACATATAGAATTTTATTGCCTGTAATAACATCTAAAATATAACTTGATTTGCGCCAGTATGGCAGGACGATCTTTCTCTCAAACCGACTCAAGACATAAGTGTATTTCCAAAGGCAAACCCTTGTAAGTTTATTTGTATTTGATGGAATAGATGTAAGTGTAGTAAATCTGCTAGAAGTATTGTTTACGTTTAAAAAACTGCTAAATCGTAAGAAAATTAGGTAAAACAGTTGAGGCAGAAGCCGGCCGGGACGCGCGCACTCCGCTGCCGGCGCGCTTATGAGCTAACGACCATTTTCTTATATTCACGTGCTCGCCGCTCATTCAGCGACAATTGCAACCATTTACACATTATATAAATGACAATAACTTAAAGAAATCGGCTAAATATAGACTTACAGATTCGAACTTGGGGCTTGTAAGTATACGCGGTGTATCTGTGAAACCAAAACTGTACTCTAGCTATAGAGCTTCTCATACTCCTATACTTTGCGCCTCCTCAACAAATTACCTTTTTAATTCGTTAAATGAACCTAAATTTGACTGTTGAGTCAAAGGAACGTATCTATTGTTATAGAAGAAAGATTTTTTAATATTAATTTCGACACGATAGCAA